ATAGTGAAATAATCTAAATGAGTGTTCTTGCTTTCTCTCCTGATTCATGGATTTTTATTTATTTCCTTTTTTAATAATTAGTTACAATCATTAATTTTGTCACTCAAATTGTACTGAGTTTGGCTAGGAGAGCCCCCTCAAGCTGACTTCCGTATCCCTTGGACACAACCCCATTAGTCTTTGAGCACTCCCTCATATTCTGGCACTAGATATCCCCAGCTTAGTTTGTTCTTTTCCTACTCCAGTCACGGAATTCAGTCATTTCCACAAGAACCCCTGTTTTTTCCTAGTAGGAAAGATATTTAGAAACCCAAACCTAGAATTAGAAGTGCTCATTTCTGCTGGAGCTTCATTGCTTTTGGGCCTTTTCAATGGCCAGAGTTAGGAAATATATTTTTAAAAATACATTTACATCAATAATTTCCAATTCAAAATTAATATTCCAGAGTTTTTGCTTTACTTATTTTACAATGAAAATCATGATTTCTAATAACATTAATATACTTAACTTGCTTTATCTTATAATGTGTACAAATGACTCAAAGAAATAATACTAAATATTAAGACTAATAATAAAACCACTGAGTGAGTACACCCGTGCTTCATTTAATAAACAAAAGAATCTAGGTTTCTTTCTATCTGTGATGTTTCAGGTACCTTGCACAGGCCCTGCCCTGGATGATGATCGTGAAATGAAAACCTCCGTTTATTAATGCCTGTGTTGTGCCAGACTTGGAACTAAGTGCTTTATATACCTTATCTCTACACCACAAACCATTATTTAGACCTGAAGAGAGATTCCTTAGTTGTATTTCTTTCCTAGACCCTAGGAAAAATGCCATAACGTGGCAGAGGGCAAAGTCAGAGGTGAAGGTCATGATCTCTATAAAAATTACCTAAGAACCCGTAGGTCACCCAAACATAGATATGGTCTCCCCTAGTGGCATATAGCCCTATGAGGCAGCTCCACCTTGCCGTATAGCGTCGCTATGAGTCAGAATCGACTCCACGGCAGTAGTTTGGGAGTGGCATCCAAAATATGGTTGTTTCTGTGATGCCTTTTCCAAGGTTGGGAACACACCTGTATGTGTTTTCAACCTGTCTCTATGAAGAACTCTTATCTTTTTAAATCTGCCCTCATGGGTTTCCATTACATTATTAATTTGGTTGCCCTTCTTGAATCTTTTCACATTTTTAATTTTTCTAGAGGTGAGTCAAAAGAAACTTCACAGAAATAGGACTGGACCCTAGTGTTTTTCAAAAATGTTTTCTCCTTTGTGTTCAATATGTTCCTTGTTACTGTCCACCATTTTGCTGGTCTTGCTAGCCAAAGCACCATATTAGACCATCTGCAGTGATAGATGATAAGTCCAAGAACTCTTTCCTGGGTTGAAAGTCAAAGTGAAGAGCTCTTTACTTCAGTATTTTAGCTTGGATATTTTTCTTCTGAAAGGTATCATTTGATTAACCACTCAATCAGCATATCTAGATTAGCTTGAGATTTTACCAGAATAGCAGCCTTGGAGATTTTATGGTACATTAGTTTCTTGAAGTCATTAATAAGCATAAATATTTCAACACTGACCCATGGAGGCCAATTGTTTGTTTGCAGATGTACTGTCTTGTTTCTACCTTTGGTTTCCATTTTTAGTAGGTTCAGAATTATAAAAAAAGAACTCATTGTCATTCCCAATTTATATTATTTAATTTGGAAAAAAACAGAACTTTTTCAAAATCTTTTTGAAAGGCCACTGAGGATATATTCACTAGTATAACCATACTTTCTTCCTCAAAGGTTCCTGATAAGTAGGATTTGTCCTTATAAAAACTATTACATTTGCTTTACATTTATAGTACCTTTTAGGTTCCTACTGTGTATAATAGTTTACTAGTCATATCAGGGAAACTACTGGCATGATTGTTTAATGGTAAAACTGACCCCAGAGGAAACAGAGGTGTTGGGAACAAAAGAAACTGTAAAAAAAATACGTACTCCCATTAGTACTCTGAGAGAGAATTTAAGATATTGTATCTGCAAAACAAGAACAGGATGCTTTTAAAAGGAACAATCTGAGAACCAAAAAGAGTTCTGAAAGACTAAACGAGTAATTCTAAAATTAAAAATTTCACCAGGAAAGGTTGGAAGATAATATGAAGGAAACCTCTTAGCCTGTAAGTAAAACAAGGCAAAGAGACAATCCGACAGAAAAAGATCAGAGACATAGAGGAAGACTTCATGTGGTCAAACAGTCAACTAATGGGACTTTAAGAAATGAAATGTAGTCTTAGCAAATGACTTGGCTCTGCAGTTAACTATGTTTACATAATCATAATAATAAAAAATTACTTACTGGCTTTCATATTACTTATTATCAAGATTACTTATTGACTGGTGGCAAAGTGGTTAAGCATTTGGCTGCTAACCAGCTGCTCCTTGGAAACCCTGTTGGGGGCAGTTCTACTGTGTCCTATAGGGTCGCTAAGAGCCAGAATCAACTCGATGGCAGTGGGTTTTGGGTTTTTTTTAATTGACTTTCAACTTTTAGAATCCATCTATAGACAAAACATGGAAGATGAGTTACAGAATAGAATGTCAGTATTATCAACAGTGGCAAAATAAAAGTACATACAGCTTATGGAATTTGGAAGATTTTGGAAATGGAAGGAGAAGTGGAGGAAAGGGTAGGATAGTAATATCTATATCATTATGTAATGGGGAGTTGAGAAATATTGTCCAATATTAATGGAATAAGAAGCAGAACTTTAAGTGTATTATTTAAAAACACTAAAAACCGATAGAAGAACTAGAAATAATATAAAATTTAACATTGGAACAAGGGGTTATGGGAGATGAGTGATCCCCAATCCTCTCATATAACAGGGCATGGATAGAAAATGTCTGAAGCTGGCAAGCGAGAAATAGAGCTATGAGTGTATTTTGAGAGCTATAATGCAACTCTCATGAGAACCAAATGGTTAAATAGAGGTTCCCTCTGGGGAAGAAGAGTAGAGTGAGGAGCTGTGTGGCTTTCTGTATATGTTCTGTACTATTTTATTTTACTTTCTGCTATTTACGTGTATTAACTTTAACTTTTAAGGATCATTTTTGATGAGCCATTAACAGTATCCAAAGGAGAAGTAATGAGGGCAGTGGGAATGGAAGGAGAGATGGGAGACATTGCAGTGTAAAGTCAAGACTTACTAACTGATTAGATGTGGGGCCAACAGAGAGGGCTAAAAGATGCATCTGAGCTTCTGGGACTAAGTACAGAAACACAGGAGAAGGGTGAATAGGGAAGGTAGTTGGTGGGGCAGTTTGGGAGGGAAGATACATGGTTATCACAGGATGATTGTAATTGAGAAGAAGTTGCCAGTGTTCATATTTAAAGGATAAAAACGTTTTTTAACACGCAGGATCTTTGCTGTTCAAAGGCTAGTACACAAACCAGGCAGCAGTGCAGCATGCCTCGGATATAATATATAGGCTTTCCAGCTCTCGCAGGATGCCCCTTTGGAGATGCAGCGCTGCTGCTAACAGCACCCACACAGAGGGAGGAGTCCTCCAAATGCAAGGAGCTCACCTCTGCACTCACCTGGGGCTTCTGTATCCCCTCCCCATTCCTGCCCACCTATTCTGGGATCACTGCCTACCTGCCTGTCTGCTCAATGGGTGCACATAACTGATGCAGAGCCACCCCCAAGACATTCTGGATTGTTTCTTGTGAGACTGTGTGAAAGGATGGTCGTAGACTGTCCCTTGGTAGGCCCAGGCTTCAGTCCTGTGTGAAGGCAGTTTCTGAAGAAGGTGACCCATTCAATTTTAGACATATTGAATTTGAAGCAATATCATAGTATCCAAGCGGAAAGGTCTGGCAGGCAGTTAGGAATTGAGGACTGGCGTTCATGAGGAAGAGAAATTACGTTGGGGTGAGGGGAGGCAGATTTGGACCAGATGAGTTTGCTGAGGACTGAAGTATAGAGGCTGTCAGGGGATAAAGAGTCAAGAGGAAAGAGAGAAGAGGGAGAGGAAATCTGTCCAGGTGGAGCTGCTGGTGGACATGGGCTTCAGTTAGAAGGGCCTCAGTGGATAGGATTGGGTTTGCAGACTCCATGGCAGGGTCCCAACTTGATGTGGAAAGGTATCGTGTGCTGGGTTCACAGACCGAGGATTTGAGTTTGAATCCTAGATCTGCCTCTTACGAGTGAACAAATGAATTCACGGATCTCTTGGGGGATACTTATATTTAAAAACAAAGAGAAGATTACTGGTCTGACAGAGACTGGAGAAACCCCGAGAGTATGGCCCCCAGACACCCTTTTAGCTCAGAAATGAGGTCATTCCCAAGGTTCACCCTTCAGCCAAAGATTAGACAGCCCCATAAAATAAAACGAGACTAATGGGGCACAACAGCCCAGGGACAAGGACTAGAAGGCAGGCGGGGACAAGAAAGCTGGTAATAGGGAACCCCAAGGTCGAGAAGGGACAGTGTTGACATGTCGTGGGATTGTTAATCATTGTTATAAATCAGTATGTATACTAACTGTTCAATGAGAAACTATTTGTTCTGTAAACCTTCATCTAAAGTACAATTAAAAAAAAAAATAAGAGAAGAAAGAGTATCTGAAAGTGCAGTCTGGCACTTAACCGTTTGCACCACCCAGGGACTCCTTCAGTGGCAAAACCAAAAAACACAAAACAAAAACCCATTGCCGTCGAGTCAGTTCCGACCCATAGCAACCCTGTAGGACAGAGTAGAACTGCCCCATGGGGTTTCCAAGGAGCAGTTGGTGGATTTGAACAGATGACCTTTTGGGTTAGCAGCCAAGCTCTTAACCACTATACCACCAGCACCACATAAATGTTTAGTAGGTGACGTTATTATTTTAATGACCCTCTGCACTTGTTAAAAACAAAAGCTGTCCCTTTAAAGGCCTTGAGACCACTGCCTGGAAGGAGTCCAGTTCAGATGTGACCTAGTGTCTTCTCCTCCTCCTTTCAGCAGCACCACGACAAGTGGGGGCGAGAATGAGCACGAGGACCTGGAGCAGGAGTGGAAGCCTCCGGACGAGGAGTTAATCAAGAAGCTGGTGGATCAGATTGAATTCTACTTTTCTGATGAAAACCTGGAGAAAGACGCCTTCCTGCTGAAACATGTGAGGAGGAACAAGCTGGGATACGTGAGCGTCAAGCTGCTCACATCCTTCAAGAAGGTGAGGCTTCATTTCCAGAAGCTGCTTCCAGAAATTCAAGGGTGTTTCAGGTTGTGGTTCTAAACGTCTTTTACCCCTTTGAAGCCTGATGACTAGCAGTTTTTAAAATTTCCTCGGAGGCCTGAAAAAGAGAAAAATGAACAAGAGAAGGGCTTTAGAATTCTTATTAAGAATATCCCCCCACGCTATTAAAAGGGGTCTGGGTGTTGGGATAAGTCTCAGCCAGCAATGACACCTGTGAAATGACGTTACTTGTCCTTAGTGAAGTTCCAGCAATCTTGCCAGGCAAGTGGGTGGCCAGGGGAATGCTCTGCCAGGACAGGGAGACTCAGTGGCCTTGAAAGACGCCTGTCAGCCCTAGAGTTAGATGAAATCCAATATTTTCATTTGTCGAGTTGAATAAATAAGAGAGGACAGAAAGGAGCACCCAGAACTCTTGGAGATGAGTCTTCTCTGAGATGCCTCTGTGTGTCTGATGCCAATGCTCTCATCTCTAAGATGGAGATATGGGATAGCTAATGATTGCTGGCTGCTGCGTGGGTGGTAGTTTTTCCCTGCTGTTTATAGGTCCAGCAGCTGGGCTGTGGATTTCCTGCTTCTCAGAGAGTTGTCAGAGCACTTGGTGTAAGAACTCTGTTTCTCCCTTGGGGGAAGTGTATTTACTAGAGTGGAAAGGCACCACACGGCCTATTGCGTAACGTCGTGGTCATGGGTGGTCACGGGCATGTTGCCTGTGCACTTTGTCAGGGAGCACTGGGGGAGAGCTCTCTCCTTGGAGAGCTTCTCTGCCTTGCCCCCTAGTAGACCTTGCCCTCTTCTCTTGCTCTTTCCTTCCTTCATTCATCAAACATTGATTGAACACCTTTTCTATGCTAAGTGTTGTGTGAGGCATAGGAGGCACAAAATGAATATGGCATTCCCCTTGCCCTTGAAAAACTCCCAGTCTAATAAGGGAGTGAGGTATATGGATGATTACAACACGACCACAGGTAGCACTACCAAGGTGGGAGAAAATAGTACTGTGAGAGCTAGTTGTTCAGAGCAGCTAGCCCTTCCTGGAGAATTGAGACGTCTTCCCAGAGGTGGTGGCATTTAAATAGGATCTTGGAGGATGAGTAGGAGTTTTCAAGGTCATGTCCAGAGAACAGTGAGCAAACCCTCCCATGAAAAGTCTGTAGAGAAACCCAAGATGAAGCATCCAGTGGAGTCATCCTATCAACTCTCTGTACATTCCTTTATTTCCTCCCAGGGCCCCTGAGAGTCTGCCTACTTTTCTTTCCTTTTAAGCTGCCACTTATGAATCTATTTCGGAGGTTTCTTCTCTGTGCAGTCCCTGAGAAGCACAAACAGTTGAATGCTTCACTTAGGTGGTACCTGGACAACCCTTATGAAGGGTTGTGGACATAGGCCTAGGATACCTGACTATAACCAAGATCTCCCAGTGGGCCTTGCTACTGACTTTTCCTATTGTGATTAACAGAAAACCAACAGAAAGGTTGACAGTTCAAACCTACCCAGAGGCACCCAGAGGAAAGGCCTGGTGATTCCAAAAGGTCACAGCCTTGAAAACCCTATGGAGTGCAGTTCTCCTCTGCACATGGGGGCCCCATGAGTCGGAATTGACTTGTCAGCAACTGGTTTGGTTTTTGGTTTTTTTTTCCCTTCTCTGTACAAAGTTGACTACAGAATAGACATAGTCTACCCACCTCCTCCAAAACGAGAGTAAAGACCCTTTTCATTCTAAAGAGTTTCTTGCTAATCTCAATAGGAAACATATATAACAAAGATATCAAACATAGAGAAATTACGATATTTCTGAAAATCTAAAAAAGTTCTCGTAGTCATTGCACAAGGACCAAAGCTTCCTGGTTCCTTTTTTCAGGCGGCAGCTGGAGGACTCTTGTAAAGGGTCATGGACACAGACCTAGGATGCCTAGACTGTGACCAGTGGGTCTTGGCTCTGGAGGGACGCTTGGTCCTTGTCAGAGCCTGCTTCTCTCTTGATTGGACGTGGTCTCCCGTCAGCTTCTCTGGCGTCTGAGTGAGGCAGAGAGCCCTCCTCCCCCAGTCATTGCTTTCTTAGGCCTCAGGCTTCTGAGGTAGCTTCTCCTCTCCTGAGTGTTCCCCTCCCTGCTGGTTCTCTTGGAGAAGGCTCCACCACATCTCACCTGCAGAGACCCATTCCCTGGCTTTCCCACAGTCTTGCATTGACCTGCAATCATCATCTCTACCGTTTCTGGTTCCTTCCTGACTCTGTCTACCTGTAGTCGGACCCTTTGCATAGGCCTGCTTCGCTCTGCCCTTGGCCTTTGTCACACTGATCAGCCCATTGATTGTGTGAGTAAATGGTTTATGATTCTCCCACCCTAAGCCTAAGTCTGGGCCATTTCGCCCAGAGGTCGCAGGCTGGAGTGGACAGTACCTTCTGTCCAGGAGCCTGTCTGTCCTACCTCACTGGGCTCTAAGAGGTCTTCCCGTCCTGCCCAGTTTATTATGAGCTCTCCCTCCCTAAGTTCCGCTTAAGTTCCTGTTTCGTGCTCAGGGGTGCTTGGAGTCCCCGGTTCCTTTGCAGAGCAACTCCATTGGCCTGGCGTAAGAAGACTCAGGGCAATCTCACCATCCCTGGCTCAGGTTACCCGCCCCACCCACCTCCTCCATTTTTTTGGGATGACTCATTCTCCCTGGTGTCCCCCTCACAGGAAGTGGGCCTCCAGAAAATTACTATTTTACAATATAAATATAGCTTTCATACACTGCAACATTGTTACACACAATTTCCACTAAGGGAGGAGAAGGGGGTGACTATTTCATCATCCTCCATGAGGTCCAAGTTGGATTTGATTCCAAGTTGAAATAGTCCATTTGACTCTCATGAGACATTACAGTGAAATACGAAAGAACTTTTGGAACCTGCTTTGTAACAAATGCATAAATGCAGAAATATAACTTCAGAGAAGCATTTGAATGTTAAAAGCTGTGAGTCCTATCAATGGTAGCACTTCATATTTGAATAATGATAGCATATAGTATTTACTGGGTACTCACTGTGAGCTTGGCGCTGTCCTATGTCTCATATATATATATACACACATATATATGTACACATACACACACATAAGCCAAACCCATTGCCACCGAGTCAGTTCTGACTCATGGTTACCCCATGTGTGGCAGAGTAGAACTGTGCTCCATAGGGTTTTCAATGGCTGTCATCTTACAGAAGTAGATCACCAGGCTTTCTTCCATGGTGCTGCTGGGTGGACTCAAACCACCAACCTTTTGGTTAGTAGCCAAGAGCAAACTATTTGTGGCACCCAGGGACCTTTACATATACATTGTTGTTTGTTAGTTGCGGTCAAGTTGATTCCAACTCATGGCAGCCCCATGCATGCACAGTAGAACTGCTCCATAGGGTTTTCAAGGCTGTGACCTTTTGGAGGCAGATCCCCAGGGCTGTCTTCTGAGGTGCCTCTGGGTGGGTTTGAATCGCCAGGTTTTCAGCTAGTAGTCTAGTGCTTCACTGTCTGCACCACCCAGGGACTCTTATAATACACATGTATATATTTATTCATTTAATCCTCATGAGAACTCTATGAGGTTGGTATTATTAACGTCTTCATTTTACAAATGAGGAAGCTGAGACACTGAAAGGTTTCATAACTTCCCAGGTCCTATAGCTAGTTAGAGGTGGGCTTTGGATTTGTTTATTCAGCAGCCTTGCTCCAGAGTCTGGAGGGCTAACCACTTGCCCAGAATAGAACATTTCCATTGTCACAGAAAGTTCTGTTGGACAGCACTGTTCTAGACTATGCTGCTTCCTTCGAAGTTGTCAAAGGTATGTTCGTTCACTAGATTTTTGAGTGCCTATGTATGCCAGATATGATTCTAAATACCAGTGTTACAGTGATCAGGGAGGGAGAGAGATTATAGAGTAAACAAGAGTGGACAAGGACATTAGGCACCATTTCTGATTTGCTTTATGTTCTTCAGGTGAAACACCTTACAAGGGACTGGAGAACCACAGCTTATGCCTTGAAGTATTCAGTGATCCTTGAGCTCAATGAGGATCACCGGAAGGTGAGGAGGACCACCCCTGTCCCGCTCTTCCCCAATGAGAACCTTCCGAGCAAGATGCTTCTGGTCTATGATCTCTACCTGTCCCCTAAGCTGTGGGCCCTGGCCACCCCCCAGAAGAATGGAAGGGTGCAGGAGAAGGTTATGGAACACCTGCTCAAGCTCTTTGGGGCCTTTGGCATTATCTCATCAGTACGAATCCTCAAACCTGGGAGAGAGTTGCCCCCTGATATCCGGAGGATTAGCAGCCGGTACAGCCAAGTGGGGACTCAAGAGTGTGCCATTGTGGAGTTTGAGGAGGTGGAAGCGGCTGTCAAAGCCCACGAGTACATGATCTCAGAATCTCAAGGCAAAGAGAACATGAAAGCTGTCCTGATCGGTATGAAGCCACCCAAAAAGAAACCACCCAAAGACAAGAACCATGATGAGGAGCCCACTGTGAGCAGCCACCTGAACAAGTCCCTAAACAAGAGAGTTGAGGAGCTTCAATACATGGGTGATGAGTCTTCTGCTAACAGCTCCTCTGATCCCGAAAGCAACCCCACATCCCCGATGGCTGGCCGACGGCATGTGGTCACCAACAAGCTTAGCCCTTCTGGCCACCAGAATCTCTTTCTGAGCCCGAATGCCTCCCCCTGCTCAAGTCCTTGGAGCAGCCCGTTGGCCCAGCGCAAAGGTGTTTCCAGAAAATCCCCACTGGCCGAGGAAGGTAGACTGAACTCTAGTACCAGTCCTGAGATCTTTCGCAAGTGCATGGATTATTCCTCCGACAGCAGCATCACTCCCTCTGGCAGCCCCTGGGTTCGGAGGCGCCGTCAAGCTGAGATGGGGACACAGGAGAAAAGTCCCGGGGCAAGTCCTTTGCTCTCTCGGAAGATGCAGACTGCAGATGGTTTACCTGTGGGGGTACTGAGGCTGCCCAGAGGCCCTGACAACACCAGAGGATTTCACGGTGGACATGAGAGGAGCAGGGCTTATGTATAATTCTATTTTTAATATCAGCTCCATTGAAAGCCACCTTTGTTTTCAAGGTTCTAACAAATACCTGGCATGACCTAGAATGTAATTAAGTCCCCTTTGAAAGATTTTGTACACATGTAGACCTCATAATTTATATATTTGTAATGTATATGAACTGTTCGGCACACTATGGTTTGAAGAGCATCTTCTAGTTCAGAACACTCATTTGTCCCAGCACGGCCATTATTTCTGAAGGGCTGGTGGACAGGGGCTCCCTGGGGAAGGGCTGGTGGAAGGTCTCTTCTTTGGGACAGGGTTCTTCCCTGTGGTGACTGGGCTGTCCTCAGTAGGCCATGCAAGGGCTTCCTGAGAGCCCCGAGGAGTTCTGTTGTACAACAGCAGCTAGTTAAGCTGATAGCATTGTGTCTCATAGGACCAAATGTATGTTTTCTGTCAAGTCAATAAATAATAAAACACCCAACTGGAGTGCTGACTTTGAGGTCATAGACTGCTCCTGACAAAAGTCTGTTCCCGTCTGACAAGGCTGTGTGTAGTGTCATGAGGCCCTAAGGAGCTTAGCAGAGACATATTTCCTAAATGTACCCTGGTCTCTCCTTGGGGCCCCTGGCAGCCTGATTGGTCAGCAGAGTTTGTGCAGATCTGAGAGTACCACCTCTCTCATCACAATGAATCCTGAAGAGCAAAGGCAGCTTGGTGTAGAGCAGTGGTTCTCCAGATACGGTTTCCCAAGCAGCAGCATTGACATCATCTGAGAACTTGTTAGAAATGCAGATTCTCAGGCCCTGTCCCAGACCTCCTGAATCAGAAACTCTGGGAGAGGAGCCCCAGAGTCTATTTTAACAAGCCCTACAGGTGATTCTGCCTGGTCCTGGGCCATCCTCACAATCATTGCTATGTTTGAGCCCATTGTTGCAGCCATCATGTCAGTCCATCTCATTGAAGGTCTTCCTCTTTTTCACTGACCCTACCAAGCATGATGTCCTTCTCCAGGGACTGGTCTCTCCTGATAAAATGTCCAAAGTGCTGAGACGAAGCCTCGCCATCATCACTTCTAAGGAGTATTCTGTCCGTATTCTTCCAAGACAGATTTGTTTGTTTTGGCAGTCCATGGGGTATTCACTATTCTTCACCAACACCATAATTCAAAGGCATCAATTCTTTGGTCTTCCTTATTCATTGTCCAGCCTTCACATGCATATTAGGTGATTGAAAATACCATGGCTTGGGTCAGGGGCACCTTAGTCCTCAAGGTGACATCATTGCTTTTTAACACTTTAAAGAGGTCTTTTGCAGTGGATTTGCCCAATGCAATACATCATTTGATTTCTTGACTGCTGCTTCCATGGGCGTTGGTTGTGGATCCAAGTAAAATGAAATCCTTGACAACTTCAGTATTTTCTCTGTTTATCTTGATTTTGCTTATTACAAATTAGGAATCATTATCTGGTTAGTAAGATGGTGTGTTCCTTAATACCCAGCCAAATTCCTATTAACAGAAATGAGTTTTGCTTTCTCCTCATCCTTTTCTCCTCAGCTGGGTAAACATTTTCAGGAATTTCTTGGATTTGCTGTTCCTACCACTACCTACTATAGGTGTTCAAAGGCCTGTGTCTGGGCCCTAGGATGCCAGGCCTCCTGACCCTGCGCAGTGCTATGGCCCTGTTCCAGGCCTCTTCCTGTGCTTGACTCCCTGGCTCTTTGCTCCCACTTGCCCCTGCCTGATTCTGCGCCACAGCCAGCCCATCTGTTCCTGGGCTGTTAGGCCATCGGGGCCTCACCAGCTCTTGGCCTCCTTATATCTTGGGTGGTTCCACCTCTTTATGCTCCAGCACACAAGGTGCGGCTCTAGTTTTAGATTCACTCTTGTGGATCATAATGACTTTTTCAAGTCCTACACCTTCGCCTTTATATATGTGAGTACAGATGAACTTGGCTTTTCAGCTACAGGGTATGAAAGAACCTTGGATTTGGGGTCATCAGAGTTGGGTTCTAGTCTTGGCTTTTCTGGTAAGTAACTAACCTTGAGCAAGTCGTTTCTCTTTTGAACTCATGGTTTCCTCACCCAACCAGTGGATAACAAAAATGTTCCTTAAATAAGGCCATGAATGTGAAATGCTTTCCAAGCTGAAAAGTACTTGTAGATGTTAGTCATTCCTTACCCTGCGCTCGATAATCTCCTCCCAATACAACTTGCCTCCTACTATTGCTGTGGATCCTAACCCCAGCTCAACAGAATGACAGAGCTTTTAGAAACTGCCTGTGCGAGTTTCTGTTTGGGTGATGAAGAGGTTTTAGAAATAAATAGTGGTGATAGCTGCATAATATTGTGAATATAATGCTGTTGAATTATACTTAAAAATGGTTAAAAGGGCAAATTTCATATATATTTTCCAAACCAAACCAGTTGCCATCAAGTTGACTCTGACTCAAGGCAACCTCATATGTCTCAGAGCAAAACTGTACTCCACAGAGTTTTCAGGGACTGTGACCTTTCAGAAGTAGATCGCCAAGCTTTTCTTCTGAGGTGCCTTTAAGCGGATTTGAATCACCAACCTTTCATTTAGTAGCTGAGTGCTTAACTGTTCGTGCCACCCAGGGACTCATATATTTTACCACAATTTAAAGAAAAGGGGGAAGGGGCTGCCTATCCAGGCCCACCCCTAGGTTTTCTGATTTCATTGATTCTGAAGCCCTCGTGGTGCAGTGGTTAAGAACTCCACTGCTAACCAAAAAGATCGGCCGTTCGAATCCACCAGCTGCTCCTTGGAAACCATATAGGGCAACCTATAGGGCTGCATGAGTTAGAATCGACTTGACAGCAATGGTTTTGGGTTTGAGGTGAGGCCTGGGCATGAGTATTTTTAAAAACTGCGTAGGTGATTCTAATTGGCGTGCAGCATTGATAAGCACTGATCCATTGAAATGAGGAGGGGACATGGAATGAACTGACAGAGCCTCAGAGACATTCATTCTTTCCTCCTTTTTCAACACATGGTCTTGATTTCTTATAGATCAACACTTAACCTTTTTCCCACTCACAACATACCAGAGGCCCTGAGCACCTTGTTGGTGAACCTGCTTTTTCTAAAACTGCCAAACCTTCAGCTGGACCATGGGCTTCCTGTTCGTTAGCATAGAAGGCCTTCCTTGAATAGCTTGACTGGAAAGATCAGCCAAGAGTATTTTTACAGATGTTTCACTATTTTTAATGAAAACCAGCTCCCTTTCCACATTTGGGACACGAAGCCTGCTGGTCTCCACTTGAGGCGCTGGCAGAACATCCAGACTCTACCCATGTTCAGAACAACACCTTGTCTGCACGCTCCCCTCCATGCACACCTGCTCCTCTGACTTCCCCATCTCAGCCAGTGACATCACCATCTTCCATTGTACCCAGACTGGAAGAAGAGACAGGTGGCATGTGTGAAAAATGCTGGTTCTGGAGTTGGACTGCTTGGGTTCAAATTTGATTCTGCCACTTATCCATTTGACCTTTTACAAGTGACTTAACCTCTCTGTGCCTCAGTTTCTTCTCCCGTAAAAGGTGGATAATAATAAGTCCTACCGAATGAGTTAAAACCTGTAATATGCTTAGTGACATGATAAATGCTCAAAGAACGTGAGCCTGTCATACTTTCTCCTTCCCCTTCTCCCACGTTCAGTCAGCAACTCAGAGCTGTTAATTCTAGCTCTGACATGTTTCTTACTTCCTCCCTGTTCCCCATACTGCTTACTTAGTTCTACCCCTATCCCCAATCCTCCTCTTTAACCCATCCCACATAATGCAACCAAACCCATCTTACTAACACAGAGTTCCGGTCACATAACTTCCCTATTGGCCGTCTCTTGCCAATACATAGAATGAGAGCCAGCTGCTTCATATCCCCTGCTGTGCTGTGCATCTCCTGGAGAAAATTCTCTGAAAATCAGCTCCATGGGTCCACAACCCAGCGGACTTTTGGGCAACTTCCAGAGCTGGCAGGTCAGCTTCACATCCCAAAACATGTGCCCATGACTGTGTCGTGTTTACTATTGCATCACCCCAGGGTGTGGCTGGGTTGAAAAGGACACGAGAGAGTACTACTCTTTTAAAGACACATTGTTCTTTGCTTATTTTTAAATACTTTCTCCTAAAGTGTGAACTAGCTTTTTCCAGTAATTTTTAGCTACATATTCTATTCCTTGTGAGTTACAAACATGGCAGAAAAGCTAACTAGAAACTAACGGTGAAGTTCTAAGGGGGGAGGATAGAAGGAGCAGGGAATGGCCGCTTATTCTTCCTAACATTGGCCTACATCCTCTGTGAATGCTCATTCCGTTCGTGGAAACGTAATCAGCAACAACCTTGTATTTCATCCCCTGAAGCATACCTCAAAGTGACAGCCATGGTGATTGGGTCAGTCCTTTGTGATTCAGCTGGTAGACGGGGGCCACAACAGACACCCACTGCTGAGAGAGCTGGGATAGATGGGTAGCAGGGGCCCTATCTGCTATGTGTATACAGCGCACGGATGAACGAAGCTATTTTCACTTGGACCATTGCCTAGTTGAGCAGCTTTTTGGTTTGGAAAGCTGTAGGATAGCAGAAGCAAGAAAGATGTGCGCCTTTGACTACACAAACATTCAATTAAACCCCACAAGCATTGCCGAGCAACTACCGTGGTTAAAAGCAGCAGCAGACTGAAGTGCTTTGGATCCTAAGCAATCTCCGCCTTTCTCTGTAGCAGAAGAGGGCAGTGAGTTCAGATCTGCCTTCTCAACTCTGGCTTCATTGTCAACCCACCTTCAAAGGTCAGTTTGGGAAGATCCGTTTGTAGTGACTTAGTCAGAGTGGCAGGCCTGGAACCAAATCCCTTCCGTTGCTTTGCTCTCTGAGTGCCCTCTAGTGGCCGAACTGGGATATGGTGGTGGTGGTGTTGATTCCAACTCACGGAGACCCTATAGGACAGTGTAGAGCTGCCCCTTAGTGATTCCAAGGCTGTAATCTTTGCGGGAGGAGCCCTGGTGGCGCAATGGTTAAGCACTCGGCAGTTAACAGAAAGGTCGGCGGTTCGAAACCACTAGCCGCTCCGCAGAAGAAAGATATGACAGCTTCCCTAAAGAATACAGCTTTGGAAAGCCTATGGGGCAGTTCTACTCTGTCTTATAGGGTCGCTATGAGTCGGAATCGACTCAATAGCAATGGGTTTGGAGGTTTGGAATCTTGGTGGAGCAGCTGGTAGGTTCCAACCACTGACCATTAGTACCCGAGCGCTTGGCACCTGCATAGAGTTTCAACGTATGCTCATGTGCTTGGGGAATAAGAAAGACTATAGTTTAAAGACCAGAGTCCTGGGCAGTGCAAAAAGTTAACACGCTTGGCTGCTAACCGACAGGTTGAGGTTTGAGTCCAGCCAGAGGTGCCTCAGAAGACAGCCCTGGCGATCTGCTTCCAAAAATCCAGCCATTGAAGA